TTTATGTTATTTTTTATCTGCCTTTTTATAGTTAAAGTGTTATTTAACAAGGCAAAATTTTAATGAAAATGTTTAAAATACAAGATCTCTGCTGCAGACTTCAACCAGAATCTCTGAGGGGCTGGGGTTGTGGAGCACTGGCTAGCACATGTGGGATCCTGGGTTCGATCCTCAGCACCACACAAAAATAAATAAAAATAAAATGAAAGATATTGTGTTCATCTACAACTAAAAAAAAAAAAAAAGAATTTCTGAGCCTCGGTTTCTTCATCTGTAGAATAGCAGTCACACTATTGGGTAGAGCTACCAGTTGGACAGAATAAAATAATGGATATGAAAGCACTTTGAAGGTGTAGATTGAGAGCAGGTTAAAAGCACAGGGGCTATTACAATATTAAGTAGAAAGTGATAAGGAAATATGTTTCCAAGAATTCAGAGATGGATGCTGAGCAAACACTGGTAGCTTGAGTGGTTTCACATCTTCTTGATTCTCTTTGGTGCCTCCCACTTTTATTTTTCTTCCTTTCTTAATTTACCTTTTAAAATTTTTGGTGCTGGGGATGGAACCCAGGATCTCACATATGCTAGGCAAGTGCTCTGTCACTGAGCTGCATACCCAGCCTTGCCCCATTATTCCTGCGCTGGGGATTGCATATGTCCTCCCTCATGCCATAGATATGAACAGGTGGGAGACAGGCATTGTCACAGTCTTACACATAAGTAGATGACTCCTCTATTCCATTTTTGTCCCTTGGTATGTTCCAGATTTCCGCTACCAACCTAGTTGCCAGTCTCAGTTTTTCTTGGTCATTCTTCTCAAGTATACTGCCCAACTCTGGGCTCACCTAGCTTCTGGTCTGAAGGGCTAGATGCTCAGAATCAGAAGTGGGTCAAAAAATGAACAGCTGAGACAACAGACTAGCAAGGAGCCTGATGCAGAGCCTGGGAGTTCACTTCTGTGATTAACACTTTTCAAAGCAAATCTAAACCAGGCCCGGTGGTTATCCCAGTGACCTGGGAGGCTGAGGCAGGAGGCCAGCCTGGGTAGTTTAGTGACATCCTGTCTCAAAATAAAAAATAAAAAGGATTGGGGATATAGCTCAGGGGTAGAGTTCCTCTGTGATCAATTTCCAGCAAAGGGGGTGGGGGATAGTCTAAATAACCCAGGATGTTCAGGAGCTATTTTGTCACTCTCTTGTTGTTTGAGAATTACAGAAGAGGGACTTTCTCATATATGCAGCACTGCACAAATTACCCTTAGAAAAGCTTAGAGCAGTAGTTTGCAACTAGAACAAAACATTGGGAGTAGTGACTTAAAATACCCATGTGCACATCCCCAAGGATTCTGATATTCTGGGATGGTGTTTGAGCCTCAGAATCCTTTGAAGATCTTGAATGTTGAACTCCTGGGTCAGAGTCACAGGAAGTATAGGAGGTGAGCACAGACTTCCTGTGTCCCACGGAGTAATTGGACTGAGGTGATTGTCATGGCCGACAACAGATTTGCAACTTCTCCAGTGAGTGGGCTTATAGAAGGGAGCCACAGATGCTTCCCCAGGAAACAAACTCGTAATGTGGGGAGGGATGTGTATTTTGATACCAGTTTGGCAACCGAACCCAAGCCCTGAAGCTCATCCAAATATGGGGCAGGTGTTCCATTTTACCCTTTGGCAGATTCCAAGAATTTGCTGCTTCTAACTGAAATAAGCCATCAGCTGACAGACTTGCAATCATTCAAAGTTGACATTCAAAATTCATAGATGAGTTTGAGGAAGAAAAAGGACCAAACCAGCCTTTATTTTGAAATAGACACACTCACAGGGAAATGACCTAGCCTGAAAGCTGGTTAGCCTGACCAGAGATCAGATACCAAGGTGTGACAACCTGGCACTCGTGGTGTCTCAAATAACAAACACTGCAACTTGCTTCAGCCTGCAACTTGCCCATTGTCCAAAGCTGGACTTTTAGAAACAATTTCTTTGTGTCTGACTTTTTGTTTTTCCTCTCCTTCCTTCCTTCTTTCCTTCCTTCCTTCCTTCCTTCCTTCCTCCCTCCCTTCCTTCCTTCCTTTCGTAGTTGGATGTAATACCTTCATTCTATTTATTTATTTTTATGTGGTGCTGAGGATGGAACCCAGTGCCTTGCATGATCAAGGCAAGTGCTCTTCAACTGAGTCCCAGCCCCAGCCCCTTTGAGTCCGGCTTCTACTTACAGACTAGGTAATGTTGATGTGATAGTTTCATTGATTTTGACTCCCACTGATACATAATCACAACAGATTCTCCTATGAAAATTTTTATCAAGTGCGTGAGTCCCTTCCTTTTAACTCTGTTCCATGGGGGCAGAGGTCACAATGCCTATAACCTGCACCTCCTTAGCATTAGCAGGTTAACTTCTAACTCCAACCTGCTAACTCTAATTCCAAGTTAGCAGGTTGATTTGCGTGTTTACTGTTCGCATTGCCTGTGCTTGATTCTCAGGGAAGAATGGAGGAAATCAATCCCCAGGCACCAGCTTCCCTCTCTGGTAAATAAGAGTCAAGGGAGCAGCTTTTGATCCCCTTTAGGACCCAGTGGAGCCTCATTCACTGTTGTGTCCCCAGGGCTTGGCAGAGGGCCTGGCACAAAGGAGGCTTCAGGTAAATCTTTGCTAAATGTTTTGTATTAAACATGCATATTTATTCTGCATTTAGCTCTCAGTATTGATGATCTACACCCTGAGGCTGTATGTTTTCCTATTTGAACTGAGAACCACTAATTGGATTGTGTTAGTGGAACTGATTTTAGAGAGCAGCAGGGGACAGGCAGAGGCTATATTGGATGTCCTGAAGAGGGTATTATTTTCCTGCCATCTTTTCAGCTCTGAGCTATTGTGGGTACCTGATAAATATTAAAGAATGAGCTGGAGCTAATTGAGAAGGTGCTAGGAAAGTGGGACATGTTAAAATCCTTAACAATGATCTCCTGAGGGCCATCTGACTTTGACCTTGTGGCAGAGCACCTGGTTCAGCCAGATGGCAGGATGGAGACTTCATTCTACCCAGTTGACTTTGGCAGCTAGGCAACTGTCAGTTCTTCTGGGCTGGCCACAAAGCACCTTTTAGGTGCTGGGAAGACAGATTCTACAGGGAATATGGAACCTGGGCTCTGGAGTCTTAGTGTGTGGCTTTCAGTTTTAAAGTGTCTGAGCCCCAGTTTCTTCTTGTTATCCAAACAGCACATACCTAAAAGTGAGAAGTAAAAGAAATGGCGTAAACAAAAAAATCCGGCCAAGGGCAGGAAGCAGAGTAAGTCTGATACGTGTTTATAAGATGCCAATGTGTTACACGTGTGTTCATGCATGTAATATTCAGAGGTGATTGAAGAGGTGATAGACTTATTCTGGATGGCAACAGACCTGAATAATTTTCTAAATGTTTAGGTTTTATTCTGTATTACAATTTGGAGTCACTCAGTGTTTTTAAAAAGAATAGATCAATAGATCACAATCAGATCAACGGATGGTAAAAAGGGCAGGATTGTGTATATGGGGATACATTTGAGAGATACTTGAGTAAAAAAGACTTAGAAAAATAAAGTACTCACACTGAAACCAGACTGACCACTTTATAAAAATTATCATACTAAAAATGTTGTAAGGGCTTTTTATGATTTTTTTTTTTTTCCCAATTTTGAGACAGGGTCTTGCTAAACTGCTGAGGCTGGCTTTGAATTTGCGATCCTGCTACCTCAGCCTCCGGAGTCACTGGGATTACAGGTGTGCGCCTTCACAGCTGGCCAATGTTAGTCTTGAAACTATTTAAATATAAGCTGGTTATCTGGCCGGATGTCTAAGCAAGCTTCTTGAATTGGGGAGAAACAGATTACACTTTCACTAAAATAGTAGTTGCTTTGCGGTTTATCTTATTTGAATATGATTAACACCAGAAATTCCCTTAAAAATATCTCAAAAATATCTTGTCTTACCAAATTACATTAACGAATTTCATCATTAGACATGCAGTAACTTTTCTTAATGGCTAGAATATAGGGGTTTGGGTTAGACTGCGAGGTGGGGCGGGATTTATAAGTCAATACCAATAAATTCTGTTAAAAGACAAAACAAAAACAAAGCTGTAGTTCTATCTAGATACACGTGTTCTCACATCCCCTCACAAACGAATTATAAAGTGGTGAGGTTAATTTTGCACCATTCACCCCCAAACTGTTCATATCCGTAGAGATTAAGCGTTCACTTTTACAACGTTCACTTTGGGTTACTTATAAATTCATCACAAACAAGTTGCCCTCTGCCCCTCCCGGCACCTTGCTGGCATATCAACGCAATATTTTCTTTCTCCCTCTTTTTCACTAAAAAAAATGAGGCAGCGTAGGTCACGAGGGCGCAGCCGTCACCCTCCCACAGCTGGTGGCACACTCAGTAACTTGGCCTCGGCGCGGAGCTCAGAACGATCCCCGGGTTCGCCCCGGATGAGTGCGGCGGGACAGCCGCGGGCCTCGCAGGGCAGTGAGACGAGGGCTCTGATCGGGCCGGACCCGCGGGGACCCGCGGGAGGAAGTGAAGGGTGCAATCCAGCGTCGCCAACGCCTCCGCACGACCCGGCGCCGCGGGCTTCGGGACGCGCAGGAACCGCGGGACAGGAGGGGCGGTGGGCGCCGGCCGCAGGGACCGGCTTTCTGAATGTCTCCCGCGTATGTTAGTCCCTCCGTGACGCGGGGACTCGGCTCCGGAGCAACATTCCCTCCCGCGGCCCTCCGGGAGGCTGCGCGGGAGGCGGCTGCGCTCCGGGGAAGCCAGCGGCCCGGGTCTCACGAGCGGAGGCCGCCGCGGCCCGGCAGTTACTCCCGACATGCTCCTCCCGGAGGATTTCAAACCCTCACAACAGCCTCCCCGCCCTCGCCCCCGGCCTGCCCCAGCAACAGGCGGTGGCCCGCTCCTCATTGGCCGGGCCCCGCGCCGCCGCGCGCCGATTGGCCGCGGAGCTCCGGCCCCGCTTCTGCGCTCGCCGCCACCTCCATTTTGATGGTAGAGGCAGGAGGAGGTCGGCTCTCAGACGTAGGGTGGTCAGCAGCCAGCTCGTCGGCGCTTGTGGGCTTTGTTCGATCCTTGCCTCATCTCTCCCTGGAAAGGGAGGGAGGCCTCGACGTCGAGAGGGAGCCGCCGCAGTCCGAGCTTGAAGTCGGTGAGTGGCGGCGGCGCGGCCATGTTGGCCGCCGGGCTCCCTATTGTTGGGGTCCGAGACGGGGAGCGATCCGCGAGCCGGGCGGCGCGGACCCGGAGGGGACTCCCGGGCTCGGGGGCAGCCCCCCGCCGGGCCGAGCGGACCGCAGCCGGGAGTGACCCTGTCGGGAAGTGTAGTTTATGTAGGTCATTAGAACTGGAAGGCCCTGGCACCCTGGTGGAACGAAGGGGCGGTTTGGTAACTTGGTTCCCGGACCGTCACACGGAAGTGAAGCGCGGGTCAGCTCTTGGTGGACTCGCGTGTGTACGTGTGTGAATTTACGTTGTGGCTCGGAAAACTAGTTATGGGAGTGATGGCCAAAGGAAGCACCTTGTTTGCATGGTGCGGACGGTGACGGAGGGGCGGCTGGGTGGTGTCAGAGACTGGGACTGGAACTCGGTTATTTCCTGCGGTGCGGGGAGGGAACCCGGGCCTCGCAGCGCCAGGCCAGCCCGAGGGAACTTCAGAAGCATGGTCTTGAGAAAATCACCCGTAAGCATGTCCTGGTGTGGCCAACGCCACTCTAACATTTTGGTCACAAACACGTGAGTGAATCTTCTCTGGGAAGAAGATAAAAACAAAAGGTCGTGAACTTGCACCAACACTTATAAAATTTCTGAGTGCTTAAAATGAAGAAAACCATTTTCAGAGACAGATTATTTTCTTGAAAACTTTTTGTTAACGAAGTAGCATTCTTTTAAACAATTTGTTTAGTTAATTTAAATGATCACTTTCTCTTGTTTTTTTGAATTGAAGTAATCAAGTAATCTTTACTTTTCTAGCTAGGACTTCTCTCAAACTTGTGTGCTGAGGAGACTCAGATGTTGGCCTCAGCTCCTAGGCTGAACTCAGCAGATTGGCCCATGAAAACTTCTGTATTGAGACAAAGGAAAGGATCCCTCAGAAAACAACACCTATTATCTTGGGCTTGGCAGCAAGGAAGAGGACAGGTAGTGGAAATCCTGCAATCGGAAAAGCAGACTGAAAGGTACAAAGCTCACATCATAATGGAGCAAACGTTTTATAATGAACCCATCCTAAAACATACTTTTTGAACAGGTTTTCATACTGATTTGTGGGTAAGCTCATCCTTCTTAGGAAAGGATGTGCATATAATAACGTGGGATTGCTTGCTTTAATTTTTGAGTTAAAAACAATGGAAGTACAACCCAGAGGACCAATTAATGCAAAAGGTGTAATCTCTTTTGTAACACCCCCTTAAGCATGTTTTACCCATTTTCAATCCTTCCCAAGATTTCTGGAGTTAAGAGCTTGAAGATACTTCTTAGTGTTTGAACTTTTCTTACTGAACTTTGACTCAGTATTTGTTTCCACTTACAGGTGACAAAGAAGCTGAAGATGGGTGGTGGAGAGAGGTATAACATTCCAGCCCCTCAGTCTAGAAATGGTAGTAAGAACCAACAGCAGCTTAATAGACAGAAGACCAAGGATCAGAATTCCCAGATGAAAATTGTTCATAAGAAAAAAGAAAGAGGACATGGTTATAACTCATCAGCAGCTGCATGGCAGGCCATGCAAAATGGGGGGAAGAACAAAAATTTTCCAAGTAATCCAAATTGGAATGCTAGCTTATCAAGTCCCACCCTACTTTTTAAGTCTCAAGTTAATCAGAACTATGCTGGAGCCAAATTTAGTGAGCCACCATCACCAAGTGTTCTTCCTAAACCACCAAGCCACTGGGTTCCTGTGAACTTTAACCCTTCAGACAAGGAAATAATGACATTTCAACTTAAAACCTTACTTAAAGTCCAAGTATAAAATAAGATATAAAGTACTAATGTTTAAATTTAGTTTATAATAAAGTTGTCAGTTGGTCTGAAACAAATTACAGATTCACTAGGGAGTTAACCAATTTGTGTAAAACTGCTTATTAATGTATGAATATTAATCAAATTTCATCTCATTTGTTTTACATATTGTGTGCACTGTAATATAATGGTGGTTATCAGTGCAACTTAAAATAATTGAACTTGATAAGTGTTCTCAATTGAATAGCTTTTAAGTGAAAACCAAGTTTATATTGGGAATGGTAAAGGAATCAACTTTTTATATTTTTATTGGGGGAATATTGTAAAAGATTCATGGATAAGTAGATTTACTTGTAGTGAATCAGATTAAGCATCTAGCTGAGACAAGGATTGAAAACTAGGTGGACATTTGAAAGTTTAATGTCCCAGAAAGCCAAACTAGTAACACGCCAACAACATAATGCACTGCCAAGAAAGAATGTGAATTTTTAATAGTTGCATTTTACTAAATTGCAGTGATCAATGTGTAAAGGGCACTTAGGGTTTATTAGAATGAGGCACAGTATGCAGTATAAGGTGCCCTGTTTCTTAAATTGCAATGGATAGGTGTCTGCCAATAAATGCACCCAAACCATTTTTTATAGAAAAAGTGTTGAGCACTTGATAGCGCTATTACAGAACTGCAAAGCTATTCTGACAGTGATCTGGCCTCATATCCCTGCAAAGCTTAAAGTGGGGAGTTGTATAATGTGAAAGTTCAAAGTACCTAGGGGAGAAGAGCCATGTAAATACATGTAATAAACTTGTAGCATATGTAAAGTCTTCTTGGCCTACAAAAATAGAATATTTTAGTATGAATTTGCTGAATGTAGAAAGACCATGGACTGTTTTTTTATACTATGGCCTAATTTTAAAGGTCCAGAATTGTTTTTAAAGTTTCCCCTCATGCTAAAGTGCCAGTGTATGTGTCATAATTGATTTGGTTGTAAACTATATTACAAAGTAAATCCTAATGTAATTAAGTTTTGTATTATAACTAAAAAAGTCTAAGCTGCTAAAAGATTTCCTACTTTTAGGAGATGTAAAATGCAGTACAGGATTCCTCTACCCTCCAGTCTATAAACCCAAAGATTCATTTTGGCTTTCACCAGTTCTTGTAACCAATGATACAAATCTAAATTGTATTTGGTGCCAGTGAGTGGTTTTTTTGTCATAGTAAGTACAACCCAGGGGACCACTTTTTTAAGATGTAATCTCTTGCATAACACCCCTTTAGGCATGTTTTTACCAATCTTAAGGGAAAATGCTAAATATGACAGCCTAATAGCAAGTTAGAAAAGTACATGGGCCAATTAAAGTCCTGATAATGCCCTACTTTCTAATTTTGCATCTTTGATGTTAAAACAGGCTAAGTTATATTACACTAAATGAATTTAGATGAACTATTGCCCAAGTCAAATATTGAATATACTAAAGGCAAAATTTATGTAGTACTTATTGTACGATATGAATTTGAAACATGAAATTAAAAAATAAAAATTTTCTCCCCAGTGGCTCTTTATTATTTTGAAAACTGTTATGACTGCTGAATCTTAGAATGTACATAACTGAAATGTGATAGGAATGTTGGCTTGAAGAGACTAATATACTGTTTAATAGCTGGTTTGACAGTTATGCAATTTTTGCTAGTTGGGCTCAAGCCCCCAAAGCAGTATTTGCCTGAACTATGCAAAAGTTTTGAAAACCCAGTAAAATAGATCTTTCTATATTCTAAGATGTTTTCAGTTTCCAGAGTAAAATAGGAAAAAAGAGCTCAAATTGGCAGGAACCCATGTGTTTTAAGTATGTGAAGGAACCCTTTGAATTGGCTTTCTAATGGACAGGCTCCCAACCTATATAGGGTGCCTTAAACTACTTGAATAATCCCAGTAAACGCACAGCTGTAAACAAATTTGTAAGTATGGTACTCATTTTCTTTTTGTCTGTGCATAATTTCTATGAAAAATAGTGCCAAGAACTGCCAAGTTCTCTGATGCAGCACTGCAAATGGGGTTAGCAGACTCAATAATGTGAGGGAACCTGAATAAAAAGTCAATGATAATATGAACATTTCATATTATTAGAGCTAGTTAGAAAATACTAATTGTGGATAACCTTCAGAAAGTGTGCTGGCATGAAACCAATATCAAAGCTCATGTGAAAATCAAAAAACAGTTTACAGATTCAGTTATACTTCCAGTGGGCCTTTTAATACATGTAATTCCAGTTTGTCCTATGTTTTGATAGTGGGCAGGTAAGTTTCATTGGAATTCAGGCCCATAACCTACCTTTAAATCCCAAGTAGTTTCTTCCCCCAAAGAAGCATAAAGTGGCAGTAGGGTGATAAAGGGTTTTAGGCAAGTTTCCCCCAGTGTGTTTTATTTGAATTCTCATAGGCAATTTCTTAAAATCCAAGAGAATATATCTCCAAAACTTCTTAAAAACAAATGAGGGGAACGTCTACCACGGTAGTTGTATCTGTAAGACAGAGCAAAATCTAAAAAAAACAAGATTTGTTGGCTCCTAGACCAGTTTATTATTTCACTCTCCAGCATTCAAAGAAATGTGATCTGCAAAAACTAGATACAAAGGCCTTTTACTTCTTTACAAACTACTGTTATCAATGAAATGAATTTACATGCCTTACTTTTTATTCCAAAAGAAAAAAAAAAACTCCATCTTTTAACACAAGGGTGAAACTGCTTTACAAATACACAGAACATCATAAAGATAACCAACACTGTTGGAAGAACGGGTAGAGGAAAAGACCCCAGAAGGCACCTTTTCCAGGACTAGCAGAATGTCTTACAGATGTCAACAGCTGAAGATAAACAGGTTGCTTACTTCACCTATTAAGTCATCACTATTTAAAAAATGAGTATTGTTCACACCTGGGATTCCTAAAAGCCCCAAAGGTCCTCTTAGTAGGATGTCATTAATTCCAAACTATTGCTCAAGTCACAGCGTTCCCATTTCAAAATATAATCCTGGGACATGGAAAAATAAAATACAATGAAAAAACCTGTTTTGAGACTGGAACTTGGAAAGTCAGGCTATGATGAGTCTGACCCACAGAGCCTGTCAGATATAGCAATCTAATTTATAAAAGTTACCATTATATTACAAAATTGAGAAATGAAGCCGGGTATGCAAAATTATATCACATGGAAGGTGTTCTGTAAATTGACAACTTTTTCTCACCTGCAAAATGGGTATAGTATTCATTTTCCAGGTATGTTTTTGGGATTAAGCAGCAGTATATGACAAGCATATGGTTTGGCAAATTAGGTACTTGATGATATTGATAAGTTTTTAATATTATATGGGAACAATCACATATAACAATGCACTGTAATTCAACAGGAGCCCAAACCACATGGACTTAACAAAACCAAAGACTAGTAAAATAAGAGAGGTTATGTGGCCACTAATTTTTTTTTTTTTATAAAGGAAAATCTCAACCAAATATGCAACTTAATTCTACTCCCTGGAACCCATCAATTCAAAAGGAAATGGAGAGGGAGGTAGAGGACAAAACACGCAGGAACTACAGATACTGTTTTGAAAGATCACACAGGACCTCTACCCTTAAGAATTACCAATTCAATGTTCAACACTAATGATAAAATTATGTAAGGGTATAAGAACTCAAATCTGTAATCTTTACTTGAAGCAAACTCTACATTCCATTATCACTTTTTATCTTCTTGAAAATAAAGCTGCTTTAAGAACATTTTCCAACAAAAATCAATCAAGTCAGAATTTATGGACTCTAACCTGAAACTTAAGTGCCTGGGCAAGTTAAAACAAAATTTTTATAGGGATAAAAATACCTCAATTTTAGACCTCCTTTCAGGCTTGTATATTCTACCATATTTTCAAAATTCTTTTAAATTTAAAGGCTTAAATTCCATTTCCAGATTTCAAGATGAAAATTAAATGTGAGGGAATCAATATGATAAACTTTATATCCTAATAAGGAACTAAGGAATCCAAAACATTTTGTGACACTACAAAAGGTATTTATTCACTATACACAGAACATGTCCCCTGTAAGATGTACACGTAAATGACTAAGAAGTATAATTTGGTGAACATTTTTTCAATTACAGAACATACTAAATCAGCTGGGGTACCAGCTGTCTGCCTCCAAATAATCTAATTATAGCACCCAGGATCTCCTTTATAGCTAATGCAAAATTAAATATTTATTTTTGGGATTACTTCCTTATGTGTGTGATTGAGGCAGAGTTAACAATTTAGTAAGTAGTATATTACAGTCACTACACAATAAATCAGTTTATTACAAGTTAAAACATTTTTCATTATTTGTATTAATGGGATGCAAACAAATAGATACTTGTAAAAGGCAGAAAACCAGAAAATTACTTATCTTTGATAGTATACTGGGTTTTATAATTATATTAGGATATGAATGGTGTAAAATATTGTTATAATACACCTCAAAACAAGGCCATATTATAACAATTCACTAGATTGTGCTCAGTAGACATTTATTGAATAAAGGAATTATTAATCATTCTTTCCCCAATTATCCAGTACAATGCTTTGCCCATGATAAGGGCTCAATAAATATTTGCTGAACATACTGACTATGAAAGAGGTGAGAAGAGATGGGCCCTCTCAGTTGGATGTCAAGTATAATTGGAATTTACCTGGGAAAGAGAGTGGTTAAAGAAGATGTAAACTGCATGTGGTACAAGTAAATAAACTCAGATGGCAACAAAGCAAACAAGCAGAAAACACTGGCACCAGAATAAACAAAGGCAAGACGTGCCAATAATGGCATAAATGGAACTGACTTTTAAGAGATAACCAAGAAAAAGTTTATATTGGACCATACCTTTTCCCACCCAATTCAGTTTGAGACAGACCAATAGAGGCACTGTAAGAGACTATGGCTGTCTTCCTTGATATTCAGACATCCTAGTTTCCAGTAATTTATTATGGACCTGTTACCCATGAATCAATATAAACCTGTTCATATTTAGGGATTAGTTTCCACAAGTACAAAGTTGAATTTCCTTTTATTTGTCCTAAAATGCTTACTTTCAAACTCGAAGGGACTTCAATTATTCCATGTAGTTTTCGATAATTCTTTTATCTTTTCAGACCAGAGTCAAAATATTCGTACAGTATTCATACTGCAGCACCTTCCACCCACCCTTTGGTCGCTTGAACTGCCCTTCTTTGGTTCTTTTTCCGCTTTCAGATCTTTCTTGAAGTGTAGTAAGCAGAACTGTACTGGGTATTCCAGCTGCAGTTTGGTCTTAAATAAAAGAAGGATGTTTGTCAGTTTGGTTTTCTTTATTCTTCTCTGTGGTATACAGGATTTTGTTAGTTGAACTGGATGTAGCAGCTTACTGGGTCAAATTTTCAAGAGAATAGTACAGTAGTTCCCAGGTCTCTCCCCTAGGTTGTAACTTAAGAGCTCATACTCTATGTAGCACTATCTCTTCTTCTTGCTTACTTTGCTTAAAAAAAAATGCAGAGGGGTCTCAGGTAAAAAGAGGTGAAATGTTAGCCCTCACTTGTGTGTTGATATGACTATTCAATATTAAGCCCAGTGCCAGACACAGAAGATTCTCAATAACTGTGAAACCCATCAATGATGTGACCCAAAATTAGCTCACTGGTATGAAAAGATCCTCATTACATATCAGTAAGATCCTAACTATCGTGAGTTCAAATGCAGTATAATCCTTGTGAAGCTGTTAGGTAAGCTATTTAATAGATAATATAAAAGCTTCTCAAGAAAATGGTGTTGAGTCTAAAAATAAATTAACAACGGAAATTAAAACATTAGGCCTTCTAATTCTAAACAGACTGAAAAATTTCATAGGCTCTAACCAACTTCTCTCAAATTATAGTCTGTTTAAATCTAATCCTGACTAGTCCTTTACTGCCTTTTCTTTGTGCCTCAGTTTCCTTATCTGTGACAGAGAGAAAATAAAAGCATTTTTCTTCTCATAGGGTTTTGTGGAGAGTGAATGAATCAACACACAGCCCCTTGAACAGTGTCTGGCACGTGGTAAATACTTAATAAAATAAATTACCTGCTATCAATGTAAAAGTAGCCAGAATTCAACCCACATAACACCTGCACTACTCCCCCTCAGTGGTTATCACTTAATAAATGCTCACCAACATTCAATGAAAAAGAATTTAAAATCATGTCATAAACATAAGGCCCAATGTATCTTGTTTAGGAAGGGGGGACAGAATTATTGATCCAGCCATCAATGAAAGTATAAATTTAAAACTAGCAGGCCCAAATTTAATTTTAATATGTATCTTAACATTATCAAATAACCTCTTAGGTTAAGAGGCTTAATGAGCAATCATGAATGACATACACAAGGAGGTCTTAAATACTATGTAAAAGATGTAGACTTCTGATAAGTCCTATCATTTCCAAAGTAAGTTATGCCTAGTGCAACACTGAATAAAAATATTCCTAAATCTACAAAGGACTGTTTTCATTATTTTAGAATCATATCCAATACTATAATAATTCCAGTTAATCATTATTTCCTTCATTTTGTTTTTATTATAGCATGTTTGCTTAATTTACAGCAAGCAGAAAATAAGCTGGGTCTTGTTTTGATCCAAACATTGATGTTTTTAAAGGTTGTACACAATATTTGTTAAAAAGAACATATAAAAATACCTTTTTAGAAGCTTCTATAAGAAAGAAAATACAAAGTTTAACCCCACAACTTTCCTCTTTGCTAGAACTGCAAACTACTGCTACAGTTTTAAATAGACTTTTTGTTGTTTAAACTATACATCCAGGAAAATCTAAAAAAATTAAAGAAACGTGCATATAAATGATTGCATAGCAGAACATGAACATTAACTGCAAACAGTAAAGAAATGAAAGTTAGAAATACTATCAAATATACAAAGGTTGTAGAATCAATCCTTTAAACACATTCCACAAACAGTATTTAAAAACCATCTCTTTTGTTCTTTACAGGCTAGGCCTAGATTTCTAAAACCAAAGTTGAAGAAAATAATCCTCTAAAGGAATTGTTTCCCCACAATACTTCTTACTTCTTTCTGCAAGCAAGCAAGCAATCTGAGATTTTAAAAGATGCTAGCTTTTTACTCTGAAATGAGACTGGACATTTCAAGTCACTTTTAATTGCCTCCAAATGATCATTCAGAGAAATACTAGAAATTATAAATAGTTAATGATATTACTTCTCCATTTTTAGTCACGTATGACATTGATAATCAAAATTCAAGAGGTGGCTCTTGCTTAAAACTAACCCTTTTTCCAAAATTATTTTTAATTTCATGGCACCTCAGAATCATCTGCCTAGAATGGGAGTGTTCTCTTTCAATGTGCCTCACATTAAACAAACAGAGGTGTGAAGAGCAAGCCTCCCTCATAAAGAGGTAAGCTAAATCTGATACAAATGCACAAGACGAGGGCTCTAAGCATCAAAATTCATTCTTTTATGCTATACACGCACATACACACACACACACCCCTACTGTGAAACAATTTACTTGCATCTAACAGCAGTAAGAAAACTAAGCAACAATGCCTCTTAAATTTTAGAGTAACTATATTAAGAACATTCTTTTCCCCTTAAAAATTATTTGTCATCATTGACCTGCTCAAATTTTAAGGGGAGCTTTTCTGATGTTTTCATGTTCCAAACCTTCATAGAAACCAGAAAGGAAAAAAAAAAAAAAAAAAAAAAGCAGTGAAGGCTCCATGTTTCAGTCAAAAACTTAATCTCCCTGAAAATGTTACTTAACCAAGTTGGCATCATTCCCCAAGACAGTGGGGTTAACAAAAGAACTATTCCACACTGTATCATAAATAAACTATTATCACGGGCCTAGACATCTTGACAAGACATAAAGGTCCACCCTGAACCTAAATGTGTCTGAGCAGTCAGTGTTGTACTGTGGCTACAACTTCACTTTTGTATCATTCCATCTTATTAGCAAGCTACATTTCTAGGTTAACAGTTTCTACCAAATATGGATATGAAAGTTTATTTTTAATAAGACAATGTTGCAAATTATGGTCAACCAACATCTTTCCACCAAATACTTCAAGCATAAAAAAATGAGAATCTTTACAAAAATATACAGAGACACCACAAATTGGTAGCTGCCCATAACATTAAACAAACTGGACTCTTAAGAGTGGCTTCTCAACAGCATATCATTTTAATTATAACCATTGCCTGGTACAGGGAAAACTAACAAGTGTTTTTTACGCATCATTGCAACATTGTATTCCTGATAATTTAAGTATACCAAACTATGAGTAAATGAATGATACATGCCTAAAAATTATCATGGTTTATACTATCAGTGGCCACTGGACTTAGGACTAGTCCAAGACCTTGATCTAGATTTTGACCTAGACCTAGACTGTGATCTTGACTGAGATTTGGATCTAGGTGGTTCTTTTTTCCTTGATTCCTTTTCATATCTTGAGCCAGACTTATAATGTGTTTTGGAATCTGTTTTAGAAGTGCCTCTAGTTTTGGTGTGAGATGCAGACCTAGAACGTGATTTAGCCTTCATTTCTTTCTTGGGCTGGGACTTGGACCGTGATCTTGAATTGGATTTAGATCTTGAAAAAGATCGATTTCGGTGTTTGAATCTTTCAAAACAGAGGAGAGATACAATTAGAGTAAAAATTAGATTCTATATTAATCAAATTTGTTATTTTTAGAGCAAAAGTTCACTCTGAATTGAAAAACAGGAGTCTTTTTTCAAAGCAAAGTTATTTACCTATCATTGTCGGAATGGCTTCTGCTACGCCGTGGTCTTCCAGTCGGTCTACTGCTAAAAAGCATATCAGAAAAAGCAAACAGTGACAAATGTCTACTTATAGGTCTTAAAACTTCAATCAAAACACTATTTTAGTCTCAACAAAGTATTCAACACATAAAGCACACAAAAAGATAAAAATGCTAACAAACACATCCTCTTGTTTTTGAGACAGGATCTCATTATATTGCCCAGGATGGCCTTGAACTTCTGTATTCAAGCAATCCAACTGCCTCAGCCTCCCCAGTAGGTGGGACTACAGGTCCATGCCCCCATTCCTGACCACGAACACATCTTTTTATTAAAAACAGATCACTGTACAAACTTACTTTCTAGGACTATAAGATCTTCTATAGTTGTAATCAAAAGACCGACTTCTTGACCTCCTCCTTTCATAACTTCGGCTTCTAGAACGTCTGTATCTGTCATAATCATCATAGCGCGAAGAACTGTACACATTCCTCCCTTCCTTGGCTTTCATTTGATTTGGTGCTAGGAAATACACAGAACACAAATATTCAGAAACATTTGAAATTTTATTATTTACATCCTTAAATTGTAGGGGGGGAAAAAACAAGCCCACATTCCCTTCTTTAATACCAAAACAAAGGAATAATGTGTTTTGCAGTCTGTCTTAGAGATCCCTTTAGTTTTGGTAAGATGCAGATCTGAAAGATGACTGATAGAGCCTTCTTTTCTTTCTTGGGTTTGGTGAAGGTTATAAATATTAATCTTGGGTATTTATTTTCAAAGATGTGTATCACAAGACTACTTTATGTAAAAATGACACCATAATTTCCTTGGCTTATGCCTTATTTATACCTATATCTTTGGCCCTCAACTCTTACCTCACTCAATTCTATATAGAAACTTTATGTATGATTGTATATGTATATATAAAAAACAGGGAATATCTAGGAACCTATCACCTCATTCCAGAACAAGAAAATTAACAACTTATGTCTACCTAAAGTGCTTTTTTTTTTTTCTTCCAGTTTTAGGTAGACACAATACCTTTATTTTTTATTTTTATGTGGTGCTGAGGATCAAACCCAGAGCTTCATGCATGCTAGGCTAGCACTCTACCACTGAGCCACAACCCCAGCCCTTTAGCAGCTACCTTAATCTGTATTCTCTAGTATCTTCTCCAGGATCAAATAATGGTTCAGCCACAAGGAAGTCTACTTCACCCCAGTCTATACTCCTACCTCATTGAAATACAGCTAAAACCTGGTATATGCCTTGCATAATAATAAAAACAGAACACTAAAATAAGATCTACTCTAGGTTTAATCTGGATAGCCCCTCCCAGTCGATCAGTTCACTTCCATAGCCATGCACTCACATAACAATTATACTTTGAAGATCTTTTTTTTTTAAAGCTTCATTTTTCAAAATACCTTTGGTACTGAGAATCAAACCCAGTGCCTTGCATGTGCTAAGCAAGCACTCTACCACTAAGCTACAACCTCAGCCCCCTTTGAAGATCTCTACAACAAAGAAAATGGCTCAAGAGATCCAAATGTTATAAATTTTTATCCTTCTCAATTTCACTCCCAGTATATCACAGTTGATAGTATTGATCAACTTTTGATCTTTTGGGGTTGGAACAGAATATATTAATTGCAACAATGGTTTTCTAGAAATGATTTAAACTTATGTTAGGCATAATGGTACTTACTCTTTCGATCTCCCTGTGCAAACTGTATTTCGATTTGACGTCCACAAATCCATTTTCTGTCCAAATTATGTAAAGCATCTTCAGCATCACGAACATCCTCAAATGTGCTAAATGTTAAGGGGCTTGGGAAATTTTGCAAACTTTGATAATGAATCAAAGTTCAGTTGGTAGGTCTGGAACAATTCATAATGTCCTAATATTCTAAAAAAACCAACCAAATCTTACTTGTTACTTAGGCTGATTCAGCCATTAATATGCTTCACAACATAAAAGTACTTGTGATTTTCTAAAGCTAATCTTTTAGAAAAAACACATGAATACATGTTATCAGATCTGTTAGAGCTAAATCACCAAGTTATCCTATTAAAAAATTCCCAGTTTTAAGAATTAACTTTATAAAACAAGAAAGAGTAAGAAAAACAAGCCAGTGGATTCTATCCTGGGTGCCAAAAATTTCTTGAAACCAAAACAGCTTTCATATATTTGTTTTAAAGAAAAAAAAAGGAAAAGGCCAATAGTTCTTGTGTAAGCAAGCAATATATGCCTTACCTTGAGAAAAGATGAAAGCATAATTTCAAATGTATATTGCTATTTTTTCCCCAGTTATATCTAATATTATTATTTCAAATAGTTGTCTTCCTTGAGCTGCACTAGGAAGACAGGCTGCTAACCACTTGTGGGTATCAAGACAGTCAAGCAATACTCAAAACAATCACTATACCAAATGCATATTACATCCATGCAGATGGTAAAAGCATGCTATCAAGAAAAAACAGAACATGATAAGGATTCCTAAACTGGAAAGCCCCAGCCATGATACTAAATATATAGCTTCCTGCAAAGTAGTTTTGTTTCCAACTTGATAATTTCAAGATAACATTTACCAGTGTCAAATAGGATCTGCTGGTATTCATTTTTGATCTGAGAAGCTAAGTTGCTATGTCTTTCCCACTCATGTCAGCAGAACTCTGAGGGCTAGTTATTCTGTTCAAATGTAGCTCCTTTTCTAAAATCATTATTCTAACAGAAGTCAAATACACATTCAAGGCAATGTTTGATATAAAAGGTTTGGAAAGGGAGCCAAGTTTTGATTCGGATTATCATTTTACCCCATCAATAAGTAATTAAGTTAAGTAAATAAATAAATGTCCTTAAGTATGTCCATTTCTATTTCTTAGATTTGAAAACATTAGCACACAAGATTTGGAGAGCTTATTTAGAACTAAAACATTCCTGAAGTGACATATTCAAGACTGATAATATGAGTTACTTTAATTTCAGATGAAATGGTCTGCCTCAGCCTTACTAGACTTCTCTGTGTTCTGAAAAGAATTAAGGACTGTAGTGGGTCCCCAGATCTCTCTTCCTGGGGCCATTGTGTGTAAGTTAAATGGAAGGAGGTTTGCTCAATTTTTAAATAACCTGGCATTTCAAAATGAAAAGGCTGATGAAGAGACTCGGGACCTATAAATGAACACTCCTCAAGGTCAATGCAGTTGGGATCCAAACTAATCAAAAGGAATAAGCTCACTAAAGGGTATTCTACTTCTACTTTGCCACCCCAAGAGAGAATACTTAACAACTTTAAAAGGGCTATAAAAAATTATGGGCTGGATGGCAAGGTTCTACACTGCTCCTGTTAAGCCAAGGATAGGAAGAGAAGGCCAATTGGGAAGAGTCAGATAGGAGAGAGCATAGCAGGAGGGGCAGCCAAGTATCACTCTGATGCCAGTTATGAAGAAATTTGTACTTCAGGGTCTTTCCAAACATGAAACCGATAAGCCTGTGATATATTTCTTTTTTAACTATTTTAAGACCATAGTCGAGACTTACTGAACATGTATTTAAAAAATTACCACTTTTCGATTCCTTTGTATAATCACACTTTTCTAAAGGCTCAAATATCACCACTTGAGTCAAAAGTACTGCTGTGCTTGGTTTTCACACCATCCCAAGCCACGTAAAATCAGATCAAAATTATAAGTCAGAATGTATCACTACCTTTATTTACCAAGCCATCCATATATAGATATATCTTCTCTATAACAGTTTTGCAACTAAGTTCCACACTTGCTAGCCCTGCAGGAGTAACTTTGGCTTTTCCCTGTTAATACTTACTAGGACTCTAACTAGAAAGTTCTAAGGGACTTACTGAATATTTTAGTAGTAAGAATTCTTCCTGACCTCAAGTCCACAGCCCAAACCTTTGTTTTTGCAGGGAGATGATTTCACTGAAGGGAAGAAGCAAAGTCACCTGAAACTCTGGGTCAAGGATAGATTTCCCATACATCCCGGTTAGGTATCCATACTAGGGAGAAGGCCTTCTGCAACCCATTCAAGGCTAACTGATCATATGTGCTAAAGCAGTGCAGGGCCTACAAGCTTCAGAGTTAAGCTCCAGAAGTTAGGAATTTGTATGTTCCCGGAAGCCATTTAAAAATCTATAAGGTGTTTCTAGTGGATCTGACAGTATACGACCACCAGAGCTGTTTCAAGGTAGTCCCCAATGCATGCACTTGTCTCCCTTTTAAGCAGGGCTCTGTGGCTTGAGCCCAGAAATTCATGCTACTTCAAAGAGCCTCTGACCACCGGTCCAAAACCAAAATATGCCGAATTTAAGCTTAACAATATTACATCCGGTTACACTTTAACTTGATAAGCTAAGAGAGAGTGCATTTATACAAGACCACAATCACAACATCAAAGGCCCACACAAATCAAGTTACAGGTTTTGTCACTAGACCAAACCAAAATAACTTTTGAAAATTAACTGCTTATAAACCATTAAAAAAAAAAGAAGAAAGAAAAAGAAAAGAAAAAGGAAAAGTTATTCTGTAGGATACATCAGGTATGACTCCTTTAATCTTGGCCATCATTCAACTTCATCTTGACCTTTAACTCTTTAAGTGCTTGTCAGAAGGACTTGTCATGAGATGCTTGGCCAAATATGACAGATGGCTTTATCTTTAACTTTGAAAAACAACCTTTTCCCCCTTTGTAGATAAAGCGAGGCTTTGTCTCCCATTAGGCTTGTCCTTCTTCCAGCTTTTCTGTATTTTTTCTTTTCCCAAACTCTCCCTTCTCTTCAAGCCTGATCCTTAAGAGGTCTTTGGCTTGTCTACTTGCCTTAAGTGTTGAATTCTACTCTAAAAGTTCTTTCATGCTTTCTCTTTGGGGTCGCCATAACTGTACAGCTTTACATTCTGAGGTAACAACAGAGGACAGCAAATTAGGGGACAATATTAAAGAAGTTTACCTCATTTTTATACAATTTGTTTTTGATCAAGTGATTCAAATTAACAAACAAGAATACTAAACTTTAATTGCTAAGCACAAGAACATATTAACTTTTAATTTGACTTACATTAAAGGTGGTAGCAACCAGAGTGTATTCAAATTTAAATCACACATTATAATCACTGATTTGCGTTTCAGCATCATGAATGGGAATTTAAATATTTAACTATTTTTGGATTAATAAGAAAATAGTAAGAGCAATGTGAGTCAGAATTAATTTTCAAAAATTTGAAGACATAAGACATTTATTAGAGGACAAAAATAAACTGCTTTTTAGATGTTACCACTTACATAAACTTGAATTTCAAACTTCAACACCCCTCACTAATCAGCATCTGAAGAAAGGATATTGAACATAAGCAAATCCTCTTGGCCGTCGAGTGTAGAAATCAAGTGGAACATACACATCGACTATAGGACCATAACGACCAAATTCACGCCGTAAATCTTCAGACCTAAAACATCATGAAAAGAACTCAAATTTTTATGTTCATGCCCTTAAAAGAGTTTTATAAGTAGTAATTATTTGCCAATATTCTTAACAGAAGGAACTGTGATTAGTAACACTGTGTGACCTTTGGGTCTCAGTTGTATCCCTGCCCTAACTGACCTGAAACAGACAAGCATTCTAAATTTTGACATTAAGAGTCAATTGTAGGACCTGGGGACATAGCTCAGTTGGTAGAGTGCCTGCCTCACATGCACAAGGGCCTGGGTTCGATCCCCAGCACCACAAAAGAAGAAAAAAAAGCCAACTGTAATACACAAAATGTAATGGCAATATCTTTTTGATAAAGGAAAGCCAGGATCCAAGCATTTGAAAGATAAATGCAGTTTATGAGTCCATTCATTATTTTACATCACAACAGAAAAGACATGTAAGGAAACAATCAGAATTCTTAAATCTACAGCCTTCATTTTTCACAAAAGGTAGAGCGGTAAGGCTCTGGGTTTTTGGTTTTTCTTTTCTTTCTTTTTTTTTTTTTTTAACGGTATCAAATCAACTCTAATACTCTGGAAAATACCGAACAAAATTACCCCCAAATCATAGTGAGTCAATTAATTAGTGGTAGATAAGGTGTGTGGGGGACAGAAACAAAGCCTCAAATAAAAACAACTTTTAAACATTGTGAAAATGACAAAGGAGAGATTCTTCTAGATGCTAAAAGAATTATTGCTTTTCTCCCCTACATTGTTAAGACAGAAGAAAGTAAATCACAAAACGCAAATCGAAAAACACTTTGTTTGCAGGTTATTTATCAAATATTAAACATCGTCATGTAATAATAGCTCCTCCAAAAAAATTCTGTAGGCAATTCGAAGCAATTAAGGGGGCTGCTGAAAACAAAGCCTATTTAAGCCCAGTCTCTAAACACTACAAATACATGTAAAACAGCGGCGGGGGAAAAAAAGATAGCAAATGCTTTCCTCTCCCTCAATCCCGTTATTTCAATGCAATTTTCTTTTTTAATTAAAATAAACCAACCCACCCAGCTGCTGAGCGAGGGGGCGTGCACCCCGCAGAACCGGGACTGAGCTCTCAGGCAACGGGCGGCGGGCAGGCCGAGCGGAGGGCGCGGGCAGAAGGCCGACCGCGGCGGGGGAGGGGCCGCGCCGCCACGCGGCCCGCACATCCCGCGCGCCCTGCGGCCGCCTGGCTGGGCCCGATGGCCCAGGGCGCCGCCTCGCTCGGCGCGGCCTAGTTAGGGCGCCAAAGCGGTCGCGGGACCCGCCATCTTCACCCCGCCCTTCCCCCGGCCCGCCGCCGCTCGGTCCTCGGCGTGCGCCCGCGGCCTCCTCGCGCAGGCCCGGAATACCTGCCCTGTACCTACCTGGTGTCGTCGGCCACGTTCCTGACGAACAGAGACGTATTGGGGGGGCGCAGGTAGCGGGACATGACGGCGGCGCGAGTCTTGGCCAGGGGCAGTAACGGGCTCAGCAAACCGTCCGCGGCTCCGGCGGCGGCTCCTCAGACACAGACACAGACACACACACAGTCAGAGGACTCCGCTACGGCAACCACCCTCTTCTCGCGAGACTTCACTCCCGCCTCCACTCCCCCTTCCACCTCGGCGCAACGCCGGGCCCGGCAACGGTTCTTTCCCGCGAGATTACCAGGCTTGCGCCTGCGCATGCGGAGGGCTGGAGCGCGAGCTGCAGCCTCGGTCTCGTTCATTGGCTTCTAGCTTTGCCTCTTCCCCTCCCTTCCCAGCCCTCTCTTTCTTTCTTTCTTTAGTGATTCTTTTTCCCGCCTTTACTGGATTGCACCGCCTTCTCCTCCCCCACGAAACAAATTGCTTGGCCCCTAGGCCAAATTTTACATTTATTGCTAAATGGACAGAGGTTTTAGCATTAGAATTCAGAGAGACTGCCCTGTTGTGCCTAGGCTTTTATTGGATTCCTGACCACCAAGATACGAAATTTATCGCTTGTATTGAGTATACACACTCCCCGCGCAGCGGTGCTGGATTGCGTGCAGCCCACACCTTTCTCTGTTGTCTCCACCTATCCCCGCAGTTCCCTCCTGAGGTTAGGCCGACCAGTCCTTACATTCTAATCACTGTTATCATGTAGACTGTATTTGCTGCTAATGGCTTCCTGGGTGTGCAAAGTTCCTGTGTTGTAGTGGTTCTCAAACTTGTTGGGCTCCCTCACACCTGGAAGACCCCAAAGAGGTTTCTTTTTTTGTTGTTTTTGTTTTCTGGTGGTTGGTTGTAGTTCTGGGACTTGAAACCAAGGCAAGGGTTCTACTATTTAGCTACACCCCAGCACACCCTCCCCCCATGTTAAGTGTTTGTTACATCTACAATTACCGAATTTGAATTTAAAATGAGTATGTTAAGACTTGGTAACATGCATTCCACCACCCTTCATCAAACATGCATATGTAGCCTCTGAAAAACTCCATTCTGCATTTGTGGAGAATATGAACATGAAAAAGGCAAATAATATTTAGTCTACTTTTCACTTTGGAAAACTCCTGAGAATTATTCCTACTCTTATCAGACACGAGGGAGGGGCCTCTTGTTAGAAAATCCCTGGCATGCCAGGACCAAGCAGATAACAGGGACTCAAGTTTTAACTAAATGAACTTTTGTTTTAGATAAAGGCCCATAAAAGAATTATTTTTGCATCAATCAGTATCCAAGGCAATTAAGTGACTTGACACTTGGTATAGAGCTCTGTAGCAGAGCTATTGTTTCTACATTGATGTTTCCCCAGAAGCTTTGGGCACGTAATTTATTAAAATATTTATTGTTACCTTTTAATTGTCATATGTTTTGTTAGACGCCAGAAATTCAGTGATAAACAGCATGCAACTTATGTTTCTAGGGGATAGATAACCGAAAATAAGCAGGTAAACAACTAAAGTAGTTGCAGATTACAATATGAAGGAAATGGTAATGGGTTTCTTTGTTTTGTTTTTAACTTCTAAAACAGAGGGCTGTCAGGAAGGGCTTGCTGAGCTAATCTTCTCTGGTATTTTGTTACATGTTTTTTAGTGGCAAGGAAACAGACTTGTAGCTGGATGTGGTGGCGCATACCTGTAATGGCAGTGGCTCTGGAGACTGAGACAGCAGGATCTCAAGTTCAAAGCCAGCCTCAGCAACTTAGTGATGCCCTAAGTCTCAAAATAAGATTTTTCCTAGTTATAAGTATTATATGGTTGTTGTTAAGATTTGGGGAGTTGAAAACAATTTTTTTTTCTCTGGTACTGGGAATTAAACCAGGGGTACTTTACCCCAGAGCTACATCCCCAGCCCTTTGTATTATTATTACTTTAAAAAATTTTTTTGAGACAGGGTCTTGCTAAATTGCTGAGGGGGGCCTATGCTAAGTTGCTGAGGCTGGCTTCGAATTTGCAGTCCTGCTTCAGTCTCCTGAGTTCTGGCACTACAGGTGTATGCCACTGTGCCCAGAAGCGATGAAAAATTTAAAGAAAAAGAAAATCACCTGTGATCATATTCGCAGAGCTAATTACTATTATGTGTTTTTGATGTATTTCTGTACACTTACATAATTGTTAAAATTCAAATCATACTACATGTACAGTTTTGTCATTTTCCCCAACCATGTTTATAAAAAATGTCTTCCCGTGCTTACTTCAGCAGTACATACACTAAAGTTGGAACTATACAGAGAAGATTAGCATAGCTCCTACCCAAGGTTGATGGCAAATTTAGAAGTGTCCCATATTTTTAAATAAAAAGGTGAAAAGAAAAATATCTTCCCTGGCCATTAAATAGTTTAATAAATATAATTTTTAGCCCCTAAGTCCCAAGTTTTAAATTCTATGAATATTTCAATGACATTGATACAGATAAATTAAAATACATTTGAAATTATAGCCTGCAGCTTATTATATAATTCATCATCACTAATATTAATGATATAATGTTCATGGATATAATTATAAAATAATCAATAATTATTAATATGACTATGGTTATCAATTTTATTGCTGTTATTAATTATCGCTAATCATTTGTCCCATCCGGCAGGACACATCAACGTGGGCAGCGAACCTAGATGGGCAGGAATGAAAGGACAAGAGACACGAAAGGATGACAGCAAGACAGGAGTTCTGATCAAGCTGCAAACTTTTATTGTTCACACAGGGGTATTTATATGCTGGGGATGGGGAAGCTCTCTAATTGCTGGATGTGGGTGGTAAAACTGCCAGCTGCAAGATGTCTGATGATCCTGATAACCGCAGGATGTTCCAGGGAGATAGGTAGCTGCAGGATGTCTCCCAGGGGGCTGTCAGGCTATTTTTTGAAGGAGAATTTCCTTCTAGTCCCTGACAATCATTCACCTATTACTTTTATCTAAATAACAGAACTCTAAAACTGAGGTTACTTCAAAGTAACCATAAGTGGTAAATTTGTTGCTTAATTTAAGTTTTTAGGTGTTCCTTAAATGGACAGTGGGACGTAATGGGTTCATAGTGGCTGTATCAACTATCAGTTGAGTTCAATTTCTAGCAATAAAATCCTGGAATAGGGCTGGGGATATGGCTCAAGCGGTAGCGTGCTCGCCTGGCATGCGTGGCCCGGATTCCATCCTCAGCGCTCTCTCTCTCTCTCTCTCTCATTCTCTTTAAAAAAAAAAAAAAAATCCTGGAATAATAATAGTCTTGATCCTGTTAGCTAACACGGAGAATTAAAGGACACAGCTCCTTCCAAGGGCGAATACACCCCAGGACCTTAGCTACTAGCTGCCAGCTACTAAGAGAGAGGGGTACCCCTCCCTCTTGGGGTACCCCTCCCTCCCTTCTCACTCTCAGACAGCCCATGAGCCTCAGAAGCCAGGTGCACCATGGAGGCCAGAATGCCCTCGCCATGACCCTCCAACGAACAACACAAAGGACAGAAAAGGGCCACCAACACAGCACATTACCAGGGCCCTTCACTTCTTGGTGGCACGACTTGCGTTTTCTTCCATGCCCCAACTATGTGTTCTCTTAGCAGCTGCAGCGACACATCCTTATCACAGGGCAAATACAGACTGTGCACCTCCGGATGGACCCCCTCTCTCTCCAGGTTGAACTTGCCCAAAGCCAATTAGAATCTCTAGACTCCAGCCCACCCCAACAGTCCTCACACAGCAAGAAAAACCAGCTCCCTTCCTTATCCAGAATCATCTAGACATGTTCAAGGTCAATGCTGTGTCTCTTTTCTCTAACAAACAAGAAATCCCAATGAAGAGTCTGTCCTATGGGGAATGGATCTTTATCCGATTCTTCTGATGAAGAACTTGAGAAACCACCCAGCCGGTAACATAGATGCCAGGCATTTTTCTACACAAAGGGCGAGGATGGCGATCCAAGATGTAGTGGGAGGCTATGGCTTTGGAGGCCATCCTGTTCATAGCTTTCAGTTATTGTTATTTTAAGAGGCAAGGATTGTAGCCCAGTGGTAGAGTGCTTGTCTAGTATGCATTGGGCCCTGGCTTCCATTCTCAGCACTGCAAAAAATAAGAAGGAAAATGTCTTGCTCTGCTGCCCAAGCTGGGTTTAACTCAAGTGATCCTCCTGCCTCAGCCTTCCAGGTCAATGGAACATAGACATGTACCACTGTGCCTGACCCACCCTTCCTTCCTTCCTTCCTTCCTTCCTTCCTTCCTTCCTTCCTTCCTTCCTTCCTTCCTTTCTTTCTTTTGTACTGGGGATTGAACCCAGGGGTACTTTACCACTGAGCCACATCCTCAGAACTTTATATTTTTTATTTCACCCTAAGTTGTTTAGGGCTTCACTAAGTTGCTGAGGCTGACCTCAAACTTGAGATCCTCCTGCCTCAGCCTTCTGAGTTGCTGGAATTACAGGTGTGCACCACTGTGCACGGCCTTGTTTTTTTTAAGTCACATATATTAACCCATTTAATCCTCACAACAAATTTATAAGCTAGATTATTGTTATTCTTTTTATTTTATGGAAGAGGAAACAGGTCTAAATAAAATTAGGAGATAGATTTATTTGTTTGTTTGTTTGTTTTTTGAATAATGAGAAATCAGAAATAGAGTTCAAGACTGGTATGGCAGCTCTAGTATATGGTAAGTGTCTAGTCTCCATCCAAGCTTCTGTTTTGTCTTCATCAGCTCTGTTCTGGCGTTTATATTCAGAATGCCTTGTTGTCACAGATAGCTACTGGAGCTTCAGGTGTCACATCTATATCCCAGGAAAAGAGAAAGAATAGGAACAGGGTGCAAAAAGTACATGGTAGCTCAGTCACCATCTACCCCTTATATGTAAGGAACACCAACAATTCCTGCTTATACTTTATTGGCCAGAACTGAGCCTCATGACCCAGTTTATTCTCAAGAGAAGCTAACCACCGTTACCCTCAACAAAATCAAAGTTCTGCTTATTAGCAGGAGGAAAGAAGGGGAGGATTTTTTGAGCAGACTAAAAGGGCACATTTCATGTCATGCTTCTATAGTTGACTTACATAGAAATGGGGATGATGATGATGATAAAAGGTAACATTGAATAAGAACTAACTACATACCAAATACTGTGTTAACTATCTTATCTGCATTGTCTCATTTAATCTTCACTAC